CCGGCTGCAAATTTCATTTCTAGTCGGTAGGCACCTTCTTTATAGATATCAGAAGTAGGGAGGACTCGCCCAGCGATGAAATCATATCCGGATTTTGCAGCAGCGGCTGTTTCTTCCTCTTCAAATGGAGATTCATCAACGATGAATATGCCCGGTGAGTTACCTGTCGGACCCAACAGCCTTAACTTGTTCAACTCTACCCATGCTTGTTTTGCTGTAATTGGCATTGAAAATGAAGAAATGATATAATCTAAAATTCAGAAACAATGAAAATGCATTTCGTCGGTCCAGATGTTCGATATTGTTAATGTGAAAGAAACAGAGAATGCTGAGGTTGGTTAGTGATTGCCGAAGTATATCCTGATGAGTGTGCATGTGTGTGTTTATTTTGTGTTATTTTGTAAGAGCTTCTGAGAGCGTGGCTCAAACAAGGCTGGATTCTTTTTCATGTTCACGACTGAGAGCTACTATTTTTTGATGAATTCACTTTTTCATCCTTTCTTCGTATGCGTGCATCTATTTATATCTCTTGTTATCGATATCTACCTAGATGTTCGTCTTGTTACCGTTCCTTCCTCATTTTCTTTGTATGTGTATGTTTCTTTCGTATACGAATAAATTGCGCAGCTGTGATACGGCTCTGTTTCTAAGTTCTTTCTCCAAATATGTTTGATTCGTCTCTATTGAATTACGAGAAATTTTTTTCTAGTAATAACCTGACAACTCACAAAATTTCCTAGAAGTATAGAATGGTATACCTCAAATTGAATGGAGCTCTCAATTTCAACGCTACTGAAAAAAGCTTTTGAACAGCTCTCTAGTAAAATATGTAAAATAAAAAATCGCTGCTTCTATTAATATAGTTCCGTTTTAATGATAATTAAGCACACAGTTGTTTTTTTCCTAGATCATGTGTTTACTTACAATTTTTTTTTAATGTATAAAAATGAATAATTTATAGGGGTAGAAACGGGTCTTTGTGTTTCTTCACCAGCGTTCGCCCACAAACATGTGTTGTTTTTTTTCAACAGCGCGTTTCTTTATCGTTTTTCTTCAGAGGACGAAAGAATACCTTCAAAGCAATGCGATGTATTTTTCTTTTCTTCCACTCAATGACGACTAATGTCTCAGTTGGGTTTTACCTAGTTGTATTTTTCCCTCGACATTTTTTCGCAGAAAGAGCGAATTCTTCATGAATCTTTTGAATAACGCATTACTTTATTTTTAAAAGGATTTTGCTCAATAATCAAACGTGTTTTGAGAAGAGCTTGATCTAAATCGCACGCATGAGTTTTCATTTTCATTTCGATGAATCATACTTCATGTTTTCAGAGACCAATCGCTTGATGACAGTAACCTTGCCATGAAAAAGAATACCTTGTAACCATTTTAATAATTGCTCGGTAGTTGTGCAATATCTTCTTCTAAAGGTAAAAGACAGATTCTTCGTGCTGTTTGAAATCGCTAAAATAAAATGTGTCGTATTTTGCGACGTCGCGTGTGCATTGCAACACATTCTGTTGTTTGGTCTTACGGTATTTTTTTCATGATATACTAAGTGTTTTGAGTAAAGGTGCTATAAGGGTGAATGACAAACAGTAAGAAAATGCATGGCATAATATCTATCGTTGCAAAACCGATCTCATCAAGAATGTGCATGTGAGGTGTCCATGTGAAAAAAAGTCGGAAATGCTCTTCTTATAATTGATTCTTTTGTGATTAAAAACCAATTAAAACTGATTTTTGATAGTGTGTGTCGGTGTGGGTGTATATGAAGAGAAGACTACACCAACACCCTACTGTATACTATTTCTTGATTGCTTCTTATCTGCACAATATTTTTCGTTGCTTGAATCAGAATATACC